AACATTGAAGAAAAGAGGGATTAAGGGCCACCAGGTCAGGATAGGGGATTGTATAAATTCAGTTATCAAGGGGAAAATAATTGTTTGTTATTTTGATGATGCTTATATGAATTTAAATTATATCATTAAATATTAATGAATGATTGCAATTCTTTTCAGATTTTTTGCTTGAGGCAGCTGGCATAGTGGGTTTCATGCTCACAGATCTGGTTCAAATCCTACCCCTGACCCTTGCTCGTGTATTGCCCTGGCTAGAGCACTTATCTCCCTGTGATACTTATCTCCCTAAGTCTAGCTAGCAGTAGGGGTTAGTGGGGAGGGCAGTCCCTATAGTAAAGAAATCATAGATCTTCACCTTATACCTTCACACATAGCTTTGGCTGCCATAGTATAAAGAGTAATCAGTGCAGTAGGATCAGAAATCAGACCTAGAAAGTAAGGCAGGTGAAAGGTGATGATGGGCAAGAAGGGATTGTCTGTCTTGTCCTTTTTGCTCCATGATAATTACTGCTTACTAGCTATATTATTTGAACCAGACTTTCAATGGGCAGCAGAAGTCATCCATGGATTGCGTGCACAGCTGAACCCTATATTTTGGAATAAGGAAATATGGATTCTGTTCCCTTCATCATCCCAACCTCATGACCCTGAGTTTCCCTGCACATAATCGTCAGTATTCCATATTATAAATAATATCCTGCCTCATAACTATTTCACAGGTATAATTTGATTGTAGGATTGTCCATGACTGGTGTTTAAACAACTTAGTTAACTTCTTAAAGATATGTCATGTAACAGCAATATTGTTTTAAGAATGACTTTGAGCAAATAAGTCATTTTGACTTATAAATACCCAAATTAACTCTAAAGGACCTATGAAGAAAGATAACTATCTGCATCCAGAGAAAGAACTGATAAATAGAAGTATGTATAGAATAATATATATGTGTGTGTGTGTGTGTGTGTGTGTGTGTGTGTGTATTATATATGTACACACACATGCCTATTTGTGTGTAATGGTAGCCATCTCTAGGGTGGAGGGGGGAGAAAAAAGGAAAAAAATTTACAGGATAACTTCATTATATATTTAAAAGGAATAGCAAATTGTACATAATTGATTTGCAGTTTCACGTGCAATCTTTTTTTATTATACAAATTATGGAATTGCTTTTTTTATTCCATAAGTAAAAATTAAATACATTTTTAAAAAAATTTAAAAGAAGATATATCATGGTATGTGCAGGGTTTTTTTGTTTATTTTGTCAGTGATTTTTCAGTTTTTATTTGGTGACCCTACTTGAGTGCAAGCCAGCAACTTGTTAAAAAAGAAGATAAATGGACCCGGATAGGGTCTCACAGTGATCCACAATAGAAGGCCCTGGGGTCTGCAGATTATAATTTGAGGACCATTACAACATCTTAGAGAGTTATTTATGCAGCCTCTTTTTGAACATCTCTACTGATGAAACACTCACTACTTCATGAGATAACTCATTCTTTTTCTCTACAGTTTAAATTATTGGAGCATTCTTCCTTATGTAGATAAATATATTTTCCCTGTGGTTTCCATTCATTTTTCAATAATCTTATTTACCTAACTAGAGTCAATCAATGAGCAGCTAGGTGGTCCAATAGACGAGTGCTAGGCCTAGAGCCAATAACACTCATCTTCATGAATTCAAACGTCTTCAGCACTCTGCTGGACCAACATGCATATTTTTTCCAGTGTCTTTGGGTGAGGCCAAGCAGAAATAACTGCCTGGAGAGTGTTTCACCATGATGACTGGATAGAACTTAAGAGGATGAGAGTTTGGGAATCTGTAACATCACCATGGTTGAAGTTTAAAGCATCAGTCAGCTACCGTGATGGTCCCCACTTCCCTCAACCCAATTCCCAATCTTCTGGAAACTTAAAAATGCATTATTACTCCAAAAAATAAATACTGTTGGCTCAGAACCATCAACTTCTGAGTTTACAGGGATCAGGTCTAATCTTGGGATGGCCCTAAAGTAGCTTTGGCTTTTCTCTCTGGATTGTTATTTCTCTATTCAGAGTTTTCTCCAGGAAAACTCAAAATATAGATTGTTTAAATTGTCACAGAATTGAGTGAAAAAGGTCCCACAAATCCTATACAGTATTCCATTTAATAATGAAGGTACTAGGTAACCTTGTCTACGCCACAGGAAAAAAAATCCACAGAATTCACACAATCAATGTAATTCTTTCTCTCCAGTGAGTCTCACATTTCACAAGGTTCCAGCATCATCATTTGGTTTGGACTCTCCTTAGAAGGGAAATGAACTTAGGGTCGATGGTGTGGCAGCCCCTTGACATTCTGGTAAATCCCACTTTACACAAAAGTGCATGCAGTCTCCCAGACTCATAGTACCACCTTGTGATTGAGTCCCTTCAGAATGGAAACTTGAAGTTGCCCAAATGGGAACACTATAACATTCTAATGAATCTTCTCTTTTACATCATAGTGACTTATACAGTTATATAGCCTTATGACACCACGCTGGGGGGATTGGACTCCTCCAGAAGGAAAAACACTTGGGCACCTTAACTTCCCGCCAGATCCAAATTGTTCTAATAAATCATGGTAATAGTGGAGTACGTAATCCATATCCCTTGCCACCCTTTATTGTGACTCAATCGCTTGCTACTCTTCCAATTTCATGAGTCACAGAGTGACCACTCCAAAATGCTATCTCTGCCTAAGAAATCACCTTCTCTTGGTAGAAGGTCAGATTTCAGCACTCTCATGCTCAGAGTTGCTAGGGAGGCAACTCTCAAGGTGGGTACTCCCCAGGAAATCCCTTCTTCTCTTTCTAGAGGGCTAGATTCTAGTACTGGACATTGTCCAGCAATTTCGCCTTCTCTGATAAAAGGGTGAATTCTTTTTAAAAAAATTTTAAAATTTTTTTATTTTTTTATATAAATTAATTTATTTTTAATTTTCAACATTCACTTCCACAAGTTTTTGAGTTCCAAATTTTCACCCCATCTCACCCCTCCCCTCATCCCAAGACGGCATGCATTCTGAATATCCCTTCCCCTATTCTGACCTCTCTTCTATCTCTCCCCCCTTCTCTTATCCCCTTCCCCTTCTATTTTCCTGTAGGGTAGGATAGACTTCTATACCCCATTTCCTGTATTTCTTATTTCTAAAAGGGTGAATTCAAAAACTTGTGAAGTTGGGGTTGCTAGGGAGGCAAAGTCTCCAAGGAAAAATTCTCAACACTCATCCAGAAGCTGGGTGTCAGGAACTCTCTCCACTTAGATTGTGTGGTTCCCACCTCTACAGCTGCATCAAGTTGGGAACATAGGATTTCCACCTGCCTTGCACTAAAGTAGCTCCAAGGGAGAGGGAAACCCTTCCTTCTGAAGACTTCAGTCTGATCCTAACTCTTCTATAAGAAAAGGGAAGGGGGGGAAGCCTGTCCTTTAATAGTTCAGCACATGGAGAGGATCCTCCAAAAAATATCCATCCCATAGGAGTTTTCAACAACCATTTCATCACAAATCACACAGATCTATCCTCCACCAGGCAAGAAAGTTCAGGTACAGACCCTTCCTAGAAAAGTCAATGAAAGTTCCAAAGTCTCCCTTGTACTCCCACCCCAAGCTCACCCATTCGTTCATGAAATTCTCTTGATCAATCCTGTCTACTCCTCACATATTCCTAAAAATTCCTTGAGATGAGGTTCTGATCCAGTTGGGAGAAATACAAATTATATTTATTCTAGGACATGTTTAGTAGGAATAGGGAAGGGGGTATAAAAAGAGATTTTTCTTTTTTTTATGATGGCAACAAATCCCCCCTCCCTTTTTTGAGCCAAGAACACAATTCTTGAAGTGGAGTCAGAAATCTGAGGGTGAGGTTAGGAACCAGAAGATGAGAGTCCCAAGCTAAAATCAAAATTACTGTAGCTACCAGGGACTCCCAAACAAATAAATATCCATCAAGCCAACAAGCTGAAGCATAAACAAGTAACAACCCCAGCCAAAAGCTTCCTTATATCATGATGATGATATCAAAAAAAGATGAGGACTGAGGAAAAAAAAATCCATTGGGTTTGGCTATTAAGATCAGTGGCAACTTTGGAGAGAACAGTATTAATTATAAAGAAATCAGAAACCAGATCACAAAAGGTTGAGAAGTAGTGAGACAAGAAGAAATGGAGGCAACAACAGTAGACTGTTCTTTCTAGGAGTCTGGCTATTAAAGGGAGGAGAGATATAGGATGACACTAACTTGAGGTGATGATAGGGTTAAGTGAGGGTCTTTTAGAGATGGAAGAAACTTGGGTGTTTCCTGGTAATGAGGAATGAGCCAGTGGATATATTTCCAGGTAGCAAGGAATGAGACAATTGAAAGGGATAAACTGAAGAACTGGGGTGGGTGGAGAAGCAATGAATTGACTGCAGAATACAAAAATGGATGGGATAAATTCATCATTGAGTGTCTACCATGTGTCAGGCTCTGTAGATTCAATGACAAAATTGAGTATCTCTGCCCTCGAGGAGCTTACGAAGGAGGTTACAAGTAGAAGCAGGGGTCCATCTGAGGGAAGCTACTTTGTTAGTCACTCTTCTTTCAAATGTAGAGTTGGAACCCAAGAGTCAGGATAGGGTGGGGGGAGGCGGTCGGGGAGGACAAGAATCAAATTTGTCCACTACTGTAACTCCCTTAAACTCCCCCAAAATATATTTTAACAAATATAGTTAAAGCTTAAGCCAAGAGAAAAGATAGTTCTCGAATCATATGCCTCAAGAGAATTAACCCGGCTGATGGCTGCACAAATCGACAATGCACCTTTCATCGTCAAGGCCAATAACAGTAGAGAAAGAGCAGCTCCATAGGCCGGCTGACGCTAGAGCTGGGAGGAGGAAGCGGCGACAAGGAGGGGCCACGCTCCCCTACTTCCTTTTACATTGGCCAATACTTGGGTGCTCCCACCCCTGACCCCACCTCTGCTCCGCCTCCGAAGTCCTGCCCAAGTTCGTTCTCCAGAGCATCAGCTCCCACCCCCACCTTTCCCTCTTTCGGCTGATTGACAGAAAGTCTGGCCACTTCGGACAGCTCCTTTCTTTAAGCCTTCGGGGAAGGTGGGTTGGGACGCGTCAGGTGCAGTGCCGAGCGTCCGGAAACTAGCAGGTGAGCGAGCCTTGGGTCTGTGCTGTCCGTCCAATGCCTTTCTTTACAACCCCATCCCCCACTCCCTGGGATCCCTGGTCTGCTGGGGCGGGAAAGGAGCCCCTCACCCCTCTCATTCCCCACCCAGGTTGAAGCCGGAGATTTAGAGCCCCGGGAGAGGGAATGTGGTTCGGGAAGGGGCGGCGATTCCCCTTCTTTCTCTGGGGAACCCACACTGCGTCTGCATGCTTATACACTCACGCACACTGAGATTCGATTACGTGCATGCATGCTCATGCATACTCACAGATATGGAATGCATCCTGTACACAAGCGCGAAGGCACACGCAGCCCACAGGGCATGTAAACACACACGCGCGCGCCTGCGCACACACAAACAGAGCCCACCTTGTAAACACACACCTTATATAATACGTGTGCGTGATGTTGAGGAAATGAGAATTCATCACCCAATGCGGGCTACTTGCCCTAAACGAAGATAGAATAAGTAACTCTGTTAAGTAGCGCCATCCCCCCAACCCCTCAACTCCTCAAAGACACCTAGATCCTGGTTCTTAGTCCCTTTTCATTTTCTCTGCGAGCCAAACCTAAATTTCTCCTCCCCTCTTCGGCCTACCCTTGGGCCCTGCATTACCCCCACCTCCCCAAATCCACCTCTTCACTTGCAGCGTTCCCTAGTGAGTTAAGAGAATTAGGATCTAGGACACGGCAAAACTGCATTTCTTGCTACACCAAGTTAATGGAGCAGAAAGAAGCTCTGCTTTGTCTCCTTCCACCCCGTTTCCCTTTTTAGTGGAACAGGCTAGGTTGATGTCATTGATGCGGCAGCTTGTTACAAAACACTAGAAAGCTGTTTTTTAAAAAAATGTAACCTTCCTCTAACTTGTTTTGTTGGCCAGCAAAAACAAATGCCCCTCCCTCTTGTCCACTATTTCTGACTTCTGCAACAAATTAGAGGAAAATCAGAAGTGTTTCATAACCCATTTTAGCTGTGGGCTTCATAATGGAGATTTGGTTTGATCCTCCCCCAGCTCTGTCATGTTTGGGGAAGTTGGGGTGGGAGAAGAGAAAACGGACAGCAGGGCTAGCCAAAAATGCCAAAATGTGCAGCTTATGAGAATGAGTCAGTTTGTGTTTATAAAAATCTCCGTTCTACATTTACATGCGCTTCAGAAAGTAAGTTCGGGAAAGCAGGATTTTTGTTCCATGCATAATCTGATGGGTACATTCACTAACAGCCAAAGTAAAGGGGAACAAAACAATTCACTGAAGAATTCTTAGGCAAAAATACTTCCTCAGTGAAGGTGATTAGGCAGAAAATGATCTGGGAGTACTTTGTAATCTGATTTATCACCAATAAATGCTTATTGAAGCTTGGTGAACCTTGACTTCTTCATAAATATGTAGTTCTGGGAGGGACCTAGAAGTAGGTGACGTTAGGAAATTGAGAACTTATTAACCAGATGAGGTGCCTTGCTCCTTAAGGAGGATAGATTGAGTGGTGGAGGTAGGCAAAGAGGCAAATCTGTAGTGCAGTGCATAGAGCGTTGGACCCGGAGTTAGAAGACCTGAATTCAAATCCACCTTTACAAACTAACTAGCTGTGTAACTCCAGGCAAGTCATTTAACCTTTCTCAGTTAACTCAGCTGTAAAGTGGGGATAACAATAGCACCTAGCTCACAGGGTTGTTGTAAAGATCAACTATTTGTAAAGGTCTTAGCACAGAGCCTGGCAAACCATATTTATTGTTGTTGTTCAAGCTTGTCCAACTCTTTGTGACCCCATTTGGGGCCTTCTTGGCAAAGATAATGGATTGGTTTGCCCTTCTCCAGCTCATTTTACAGATGAGGAAACTGAGGCAAACAGGATGAAGTGACGCCTCAGAACAAGTAAGTATCTGAGGCTGGATTTGAACTTAGGAAGATGAATCTTCCTGACTCCAGGCCTGGCACTCTATCCCCTGCACCACCTAATTGCCCACCTTAGGTGTTTAATAAATTGTTCCCTTCTGCTTCCCTAGAGGTCATCAAGTCTAACTTCTCATTTGATATATTAGGATATAACCTCAGAGTGATTATATACCTAATTGAAGGCCAAACAAGCAATAGTGGCAGAGCTTGGATTTGAACTCATGTCTCAATGATTACCAAATCTAGTTTTTGTTCTACTACATCATATCATTAAGTTAACAATGAGATACAGTCATTCAGGGGGAAGGTATAGGTTGCCTCTACATTTCCATTTTAAATGTTTAACAGGATCATATTTCTTCTTGCCTTTTCAATGTGTGGGGGAGGGTGAGAATTTGCAACTGAAGATAAAAATTCAATTTAAAAAAGATAATCAGGAAGGATTTATTTCATAATATTGAAAGTTTCTTATTAACCTGGACCCAACCAGCCTTTCCAGCTTTATTGTAATCCAGCCAAACTGACCTTTCTGTTGTTCTTCATATTATAATAATAATAGATGGCATTTAAATAGTGCTTTACGTATGCTATCAGATTTTATCCTAACAGCAACCCTGTGAGGTAATGGTATTATTGACCCAACTTTGCTGAAGAGGAAATGTAAGAAAGATTTTAGGGGGTTAGGTTTCCACAGCAGGATAAGAAATTCCAAGATCTTGTGGGTAGTCCCTCAACCAATCAGAAAATGCTCCAAACTATTCTAGAAACAGCTAGTTCTTAAGAAAGAGCCGTGGAGGCTAAACTGGTTGCAGCCAGCCAGGTTCAAGGACGGGCTTCAGCCAGACAAAGGCTTTTCTCCACTGCACTTGCTTAATAAGCATGAACTGACACACCCCAAGAGCGGAGATAGCCACCATTTTTAACATGGAACCCATAAAGTGGGCAGAGTTAACAGAATATGGACAAACATGCCATGGGCTGTCCAGGAGGGGTATAACTCAGATGAACCAGAACAATAGTAGCCCTGATGGGTGAAGTGTGGTTCTTACTAACAGTTTAAAAGTTGTTTCTACTGCTAAACCAGTGCCTATGTGCTAGTAATGTGCGTTGTGCTCACTTCTCTCTCGAGAAGCATAATGAAGACTTTCCTTCACTCACTCACTGCAGTAGATTTTTTTGTTTCAGATTTTTCTAACAAACACTGAGAGAAAAGTGAATTGACTAGCCCAGGGTTGTTGTTGTGTCCAACAGAGTAACCCATTTTGGGGGTTTTCTTGGCAAAGATACTGGAGTGCTTTACCATTTCCTTCTCCAGTTCATTTTACAGATGAGGAACTGAGGCAGCCAGAGTGAAGTGACTTGCCCAAGGTCACACATCTAGAAAGTGTCTGAGGCTGCATTTGAACTCGGGTCGTCCTGACTCCAGGGTCAGCACTCTACCCACTGTGCCACCTAGTTGCCCCTTAGTAAGTAAAGTGCGTAAGGCTGGATTTGAACTCTAACTCCAAGTAAAACATTCTAGCCACTCCACCATCTAGCTGCCCTTTTATCTAGATATAGGACTCTAGTTTCCTTCAAAACTTAATTCTAATGCCACCTTTTACATGAAGCCTTTCCTGACTCCACCCCACCCCACTAGTGCCTTATTCCTAAAATTATAGAAGCTTTACCTTCATTATATTTGAACTGTACAACAACTCTTTGAAGGAAGGCAGGCAATAAATATTAAGTATTTCTTGTTATTGCTGATCAGCTGTGTCTAACTCTCTGTGACCCCATTTGGGGTTTTCTCGGCAGATACTGGAGTGGTTTGCCATTTCCTTCTCCAACTCATTTTACAGATGAGGAAACTGAGGCAAGCAAGATGAAGTGACTTGTCCAGGGTCACACAGCTATTAAGCATTTGAGGCTGCAGTTGAACTGAGATCTTCCTGACTCTAGGCCTGGCATCCTATCCACTTTGCCACCTAGCTGCCCCTTTATTAAGTACTTAGTATATTTCAAGCACTCTGATAGTGCTGAAAATACAAATACAAGCAAAAAGAGTTCCTGCTTATATTCTGCATTATATACACATAGAGCTTACATTTTAATGTGAGAAAACAACACCTAAAAGGAAGCTGAAAAGGGAGAGTTGGGGGGGGTGAGAAGTGAGGGTGGAGAGGGAAAGTACTTATGTAGGTACAAGGTAGGGAAATCCAGAGAGTCAGAAGCAGAGCCAGGAAGGGAGTGAAGCATGACTGGTGTGGGCCTATCTCCAAAATGGACATTCCAGTAGGAACTCAGGAAGGAGCTAAGGGAAGCTGGAGAGGCAGAGGGAGGTTACATGGTCAGAAGGCCTGGGGCCCTAAGGGAAATTCCAGGGTAAAAAGGCAGCTGAGGCACCAAGTGGATGATATAGGTATTATCCCCACTTTACAAAAGAGGAAACTGAGCCTCAGAGAGGTTAAATAACTTGCTTTTGGTCAAATGGCTCATAAGATTTGAGGGTGAGATTGAAATCCATATCTTCTTAACTTCAAGTCCAGTACCATGTATACAGTGTCCAGATGAAGGCAGGATCCTGATTAGAGTTTTCAGTTCAAGGTCCCACATTTTAAGAAGGATGTTGACAGGCTGGAGTATGTCCATAGGTGTGTAAATAGAATGAAGCTGAATATTGATAACGAAGAAACTGAGGGGGTCTCTAGCTTGGAGAATAAAAAACAAGGATACTACTGCTGTCTTCAAGGACATGAAGTGCTGTCTGGTGGGAGAAGGATTTACTTGGATCCAAAAGGAGGAATGCCAGGCAGATTCAGTAGGGTCTGATGGAAGTTCAGATGGATATTGTGAAGAGACATATTCCAGGCAGATATAAGGAAAAAACATCCCTGCAATTACAGTTGTTCAAAAGAGGGATGGACCCCATTTGGGATTTTCTTGGCAGAGATACTGGAATGGTTTGTCATTTCCTTCTCCAGCTCATTTTACAGATGAGGAAACTGAGACAAACAGGGTTCAGTGACTTGTCCAGGGTTGTATAGTTAGTAAGTGTCTGAGGTCAGATTTGAATTCAGGAAGACGAGTCCTCCTGATGCCAGGCCCAGCACTCTATCTGCTTTGCCACCTAGCCTCCCCATTTGAGTATACATTGGCCTTGATAAATTATGAAGCCCCTTCCAATACTGAGATTGAATGACTGTAAGTATGTTGTGGGACTTTGACATGGCAATGCTCTAATCATCTCTCCAAGACTGTAAGTTTCTGATCAGCTACCAATATTCATTAGTAGTGGGAATTCCGTCTATAAAAGAGGTCATGATGCCTCTCCTTATCCCTCATCCAGGGACAAGGGTCCCTAAAGTTCCAGAGTCTGAAGGGAACAATTTCTCATTTTTCAAATACTATTTGTCTGCTTTAGAAATATTTTACAAATCGAATGCCAACATCAGTAGGCTAGGGTTGATCCGATTTTTGTGCTGTTTAAAAATATGTGAGAGTTAGTGCCTTAATTCTGTTTCACCCTAGTAAATAAATAAAAGCAGATTGTATTTTATAAATGTGTTTGAGTTTCAGAGGCTCATCTGTTTATTTTCCTGTGGCTAGGTAGTACTATAGATTGAGTGCTGGGCCTGGAGTCAGGAAGACACGTCTTCCTGAGTTCAAATTTGGTCTCAGACACTTACTAGCTGTATAACTGTGGGCAAGTCACTTCACCCTGTTTGCCTCAGTTTCCTCATCTGTGAAATAAACTGGAGAAGGAAGTGACAAACCGTTCCAGTATCTCTGCCAAGAAAATCCCAAACGGGGTCATGAAGAGTCAGACATGACTGAACAAAAACAACAAATAACAACATAATCTCTAATGAAGGTAGAATTTAGAAAAAATATTAGAAACTAACACGATTGGCTTCAAGTATAGAAGTGTACATAAAAATACAATTAATGAATTTATGCGTTGTTTTCCCTGCTGTCAAGATGCCCGACTTTACTCATAAAATACATGTTTATGTATGCATGTATGGAATATACCTTGCTTTAGCAGGAGTTAACTATTTAAAGGAGTCCTTTTGTAAAAAATGCTAAAAAGCAAGAAAAAATAATTTTTAGTGTAGTTAAGGGCCTCCTAAGCATAGATATAGTTTGATTCATAGTAAATATAGATAGTGTTCTGCTATGCTTCATCACAGTCCATGATTAGAAAAATGAACCTTTCTCAATCATTTATGGGGGATGGAGATATGTAATCAACTGAAAGTTACTATGAAGTGTTGAGAACAATTGATGCTAACATGCCTGTGTTTACTCCACAGATTGTTTTTTGAAAATGGATTCAAAATTCTGCTGTGTGTTTTTCACACTGTCTGCATTAATGTTTTCGATCACATTTTCTCACCAACAAGATGAGCAGAAAGTTCTTCTTGTTTCTTTTGATGGATTCCGTTGGGATTACATCTACAGAGTCCCCACACCCCATTTCGATTATATCATGGAGTATGGTGTACATGTCAAGAAAGTTACTAATGTTTTTGTTACAACGACTTATCCTAATCACTATACTTTGGTGACTGGTCTCTACCCAGAGAGTCATGGCATAATTGCCAATGACATGTATGATTCTACCTTGAATGAAACCTTCTCCTTGGAGGACATGACGATCTATGATTCAGAATTTTGGGAAGATGCAATTCCGATATGGATCACAAATCAAATAGCAGGCCATGACACTGGTGCTGCAATGTGGCCTGGGACAGACGTGAAAATACATGAAAAATTTCCTACTTATTATATGCCTTACAATGAGTCTGTTTCATTTGAAGACAGAGTCGCAAGAGTTATTGAGTGGTTTAAGTTAAAGAAACCCATAAATCTTGCTCTTCTCTACTGGGAGGATCCTGATGAGATGGGCCATAATTTGGGGCCTGACAATCCACTCATGGACCCTGTCATTTCTGATATTGACAGTAAGTTAGGGTACCTCATCAAAGAGCTGATGAAAGAAAAGTTGTGGAATACCGTGAACCTAATTATCACAAGTGATCATGGGATGACACAGTGTTCTGGGGAAAAAATCATAGAACTTGACCAATATGTCGATCCAAATGACTATTTCCTGATAGACCATTCACCAGTAAGAGCCATTTTGCCAAAAAAAGGTAAAGACTGGTAGTGACTGACCTGATTGGTGATTGTAAAAGAGAGTTTTTTTGTCTTTGTCCCTTTTGTCTTAACATAGCTTGATTTCTGTAACCAAGCTAGTGAGATTAGATAAGAGCTTTTGATCTCATTTTAACATACCCAGTTGTGTCGAAGGAAGGAAGGAAACAAGCATTTATTAGGTACCTACTGTGTGCCAAGCACAAATAAATATGTGTATGTATACATGTATAATGTGTGTATAGTGTGTGTGTGTGTGTGTATGTATAAAATCTCATTTGATCCTCACAATAACACTGGAAGGTAAATGCCATTATTATATCCTCATTTGAAAGTTGAAGAAACTGAACCAAATAGAGGTTAAGTGACTCTAATATGACCCTACTGAGTCTGATTAGATTATTGTACTCTTTCTCTTTTCCTTTCTCTTCATCTTGGCCCCTACCTACCTTTCCAGTCTTATATTTTACACCCCTCTACCCACACTACAATCCAAGATGCTGACTTCCTTATAATTCTCAAAACCCTATGCTCCATCTCTCTCATTGTATTGTTGTTATACAGTCTTTTCAGTCATGTCCAACTCTTTTTTTGTTGTTTTTTGTGTTGTCTAGGCAATGAGTTAAGTGACTTGCCCAGAGTCACACAGCTAGTAAGTGTCAACTGTCTGAGAGCAGATTTGAACTCAGGTCCTCCTGACTCCAGGGCTGGTGCTCCATCCACTGTGCCACCTAACTGCCCTAGCCATGTCCAATTCTTCATGACCTCATTTGGGGTTTTCTTAGCAGAGATACTAGAGTAGTTTGACATTTCCTTTGCTAGCTTACTTTTATAGATGAGAAAGCTGAGGCAAACAGGGTTAAGTGACTTGCCCAGGGTCACAGCTAGTAAGTGTCTGAAGCCTGATTTGAACTTGGGTCTTCCTGATTCCAGGCCTACCATTCTATCAACTGTGCCACTTAGCTTCCCAAAAGTTACTGGAGAATGCAGGCACATAGTAAGAGCTTGATAAATGCTTGTTAATTGGCTGAAACAGTAAGATAAATTCTTTTATCCGCATTTTTAAAGACTGGACTTGTATAGAGATATCAATTATTTTGCTGAAGAGTTGCTTTCTAGGAAATAATGGTTGAGAAAACAAATTTCGTTTTCGCATTGGCTTCCATTACAAAAATTCCTGTGCTTCCTCAGGGGAAAAAGAAAAAAAAGGAAAAAGTTCCAAGGAAAACATGGTGAGGAAATAGGGAAAGCTGTGCCTTGATCTGTGTCATTCTGAATGTTATGGTCAATGGGTGTGGTTGTTCAGAATTTTGAGGTGCTTTGCCAGCTCCCTCCCCTACTCTTAAACGTTCTTTAGTTTTCAATGGATCCCCTAATTCCACATTTTTTTTCTACCAAAATTACCTTCTTTGCTGCTTTTGCTTGGGTATCAGCCATGACTGACCAACTGTCTTGAAGACTCACAACTGTACTGTAATATTTTATTTCTCTAGTAAGTGCCTCTAATAATGCATAATGCATTCCAAGTGGAACATTCCTTGAATTGAGGTTTCAAGTCCTGTCAGATGATTCAGTGTCCCTACTTTATTAATTCTTTAAAGTGAATTCACTTAAAAACAAAGAACAAACTTTTTGGTCTCCCTGTAATGGGGACACATGGCAGGGAGGGGCAGGGTTGGGGAGGGGCCAGGGAGGATTTTTCCATATAAGAAGACTGAATAAATGTTGTTTGTGTTAGGTCAGTTGCTTTTCACCATGGTAGTTCATCTGTGTTTTGGAAATGTTGCTGAGTTACCTTCTGCTTACCCCCTGTATGACCTCCTTTCCCTGCCCAGGCCTCAGTTTCTCCCTGCCTAGGCCTCAGTTTCTTCATTTGTAAAATGGTGGAGTTAGAAGGGATGGCATCTAAGAGCCCTGTCAAGCTTATTTTAAAAAATTACAGTTTTGGGGGGTAGCTAGGTGGCACAGTGGATAGAGCACCAGCCCTGAATTCAGGAGTACCTGAGTTCAAATCCGGCCTCAGACACATAACACTTACTAGCTGTGTGAGACCTTGGGCAAATCACTTAACCCCATTGCCTGCCCCCCCCAATGCAATTTTTTAAAATGAAAAATGATTATTTATTTTAAAATTATGATTCTCAGTGACCAAAAGAGCTTTTATTTTTTTTGTTGGAGAAAGCTGTTGCTTAGATTTACAATGCATCATCTGGTTTCAGTTCCTTATATTTCTCCACTCTCCTCCAGGTAAATTTGATAAGATTTATGCAGCATTGAATAATGCTCATCCTAACCTGACTGTTTACAAAAAGGAAGACATTCCAGAAAGATTTCATTACAAGCACCATCACCGAATTCAACCCATCTTAATAATGGCTGACAAAGGATGGACCATTATACAGAATAGATCCAATACATTCATGTGTAAGTATTTTGTGGTATATTATTACTTCACTATAGTTTTTATTAACATCTGTGTCATCATTGAGGATTAATTATTGGTTGGATAACTAATCAGTTGGCCAACTGGACAGTCAGGTGGCACACTGTCAGGCCTAGAGTCAGGAAGATTCTTCTTCCTGAGTTCAAATCTGGCCTCAGACACTTACTAGCTGTGTGACCCTGGGTAAGTCACTTCACCCTGTTTGCCTCAATTTCCTCACCTGTAAAATGAGCTGGAGAAGGAAATGGCAAACCACTCTAGTATCTCTGCCAAGAAAACCCCAAATGGGGTCACAAAGAGTCAGACATGACTGAAACGAATGAACAACAAATTAATCATTCTTCTCCACTCATAGTTAAGCAAGGCTTTGTATCCTGAAAGCTGACAATTAATCTTCTTAAAGCAATTTACTCTGTTTTCTGACAGGATCCAGCTATGGTCCCTCCCCATTCTAATCCACCCTCCACTTAGCTGCCAATAATTTTCCTAAAGTGGGGAGTCTAATCATGTCAACGCCTCCCCCCGACCCAACACACAGATATTCAGTAAACATCAATGGCTTCCTGTTATGTCCAGGATCAAATATAAAGTTCTCTTTTTGGCATTTAGAGTTCTTTATAACTTGGCCCCTTCTTACTTCCCACTATTCTTTACTTCCCTATGTGAACTGTACAGTCTAGTTTTACTGGCTTTCATACTGTTCCTCTTACTACATGCCATGGTGCTAGCTAACTTGTCCCCCCCATGCCTGGAATTCTCTGTCTCTTCATCTCTACCTCTTAGGTTCCTTGGCTTCCTTTAAGATTTCCTTAAAAATTCACTTTCTGCCTGACCCCTTCCTTGGTCTCCCTCTCTCTCTCATCCCCAGTGCCTTCCTTCTAAAAACTGTTGAGTTATTCCATTCATGTCCAATGTGACCCCATTTGGGGTTTTCTTGGCAAAGATACTGGGCTGGTTTGCCATTTCCTTCTCCAGATCATTTTACAGATGAGGAATTGAGGCAAACAGGGTTAAATGACTTGCCCAGGGTCATACAGCTAGGAAGTGTCTGAGGCCAGATTTGAACTTATGAAGATGAGTCTTTTTGACTTTAGGCACTGCCCTCTATTCACTGAACCACCTAACTGTCCAAAGATTACCTTCCATCAACTCTATATACATCTTGTAGGTACCTACTTATTTCCACTTTGTCTTTCCAGTTACAATGTAAACTCCCTGAGAGTAGGGACAATTTTGTTGTTTATTGGTTTGTTTGTTTTTGCCTTTCTTCGTAGCTTCATCATTTAGCACAGTGTTTGGCACATAACAAGCATTTAGTAAATGTTTGTTGAGTTATTGACTGGACTGACCTATTTTATAACAGATGTGTCTAAAAAGTAAAAAAAAATTAAATTTGTAAATATGATCATTTTCTCATTAATTTATAAATCTGTTCACTTTAGATGCACTTTAACTTTATTTCTAAATGATTTTTAGTTGGCAGCCTTAAAATTCTTCTGGCTTATTCTGTGTTGTAAAGTAGGTTTCTTTTCAGATATGGATCAGACTCAAAGAATACTGAGGACCCTTCCTACAAGAAGGAATGAAGGAGGGAGGGAGGAAAGAAGGAAGGGAGAGAAGGAGGGAAGGAGAGAGGGAAAGAAGGAAGGAGGGGAGGGAAGGAAGGGAGGAAGGAGAGGGAGAAGGAGAGGAAGAAAGGAAAGAGAAGGAAGAAGACGAAAAGGAAGCAGAAGAAGGGAGGAAGGAAGCAGAGGGAGGAAAGGAAGGGAAGGAAGGCAATGAGGGAAATGGAGAGAGAGAAGGAAAGAGGGATGAAAGGAAGAACAGGGAAGAAGGAAGGATGGGAGGGAGGAAGAAAGGAAAAGCAGGAAAGGAAGAAGGAAGGACAGGGAGAGAGGGAGGGAAGAAAGAAAGGAATAATATTCATAATTCGTAATTCTTAACTTACTTTTACTGCAGCAAATCAGGTGAAGAAATACCTTTAATGGGATCAAGAATTCAGGCAGTTAGGTGGCATGGTGGATAGATTCTAAGATCTAGTCCTAGAGTGAGGAAGACCTGACTTTTAATCCTGCATCAGATGATTACTAGCTGTATGAACCTGGGCAAGTAGCTTCGTGACTCCTCAATTCGGTTTCCTCATCTGTTAAAACCAGGATGATAATAGCACCTACCTCATAGGGTTATTGTGAGAGTCAAATGAGATAATAAAAGTATTTTGCAAACCTTAAAAAGCTCTATTAATGCTAGCTGTTATTATTTTAGGGTATCGTGACAGACGTTTTAAGGAGACTTTGGAGGAAATTTAAGGTCACTTGATTACTTTTTGACAGATGGTATCTGTTTTGTTTTCTTGATCTCATTACACACTTTCCTGTGTAGCAAGCATTAACTTTCAATAGTAATCCAGTTGTTGGTCCGTCCACATTTGAAACAGAAAGTCTTTCTGCATTCTTTGTGTAGTTTTTCTTCAGCCCGAGGTGCTTCACCTTGTTTGCATGCTTATGTTATGCCAAGTAGACCAGCCTTTGGAAGGCATGACTCAACTTATTTGTGCAAAATTTCCCATCCTCTGATCCTTCACTCCATTATTTCATGTCAAAAACTCTTAGAACTTTGACTTGAATAACTCAAAAGCACACAACGTTCAGTTTTATGATGGACCCACAGGAGCAAAAGTCACTCTATTTTAGCCACAAGTCCTCCGCATACTAGTGGAATTTGGCTTTTTCCTTTGGTTGGCCATGTTGAAGGATTGAGTGTGATAAGTAACTAGGAAGCAATGAGACCTAAACTTAGCAGTATTTACGCATCCAGATGAGATCCAGACTTCAAAATAATCTCCTTGTGGCACTGTGTGCCAATGATTCTGCTATTGCTTTAAATGTTTGGGGAATTCCCCCTTTTTTGAGTTGCCTTCAGATGTAGCTTACTAACTACACAAGAAAATCACTCTTCTAGTTAAAAGATATCTACCCTTTCCCTACCTTGTCTCTCCCTTAATTCCCACCGCCTCTGCTTTCATTGGCTTAGCTCTACCCAGTTTAGCTCCTCCAAATAACCAAATGCTGGTTGAGAGTCAGGGTACCCCAGGAGTAGTGGCTTGGCCATAGGCCAGACTGAGTTTCAGAATATGCGGAACACATCATGGAGCAGATTGACATAAATTGGTGTTCATGCATCCTGTGTTACGGGGACAGTGAGGGCACCTATGTGGAGCAACAGATAGAGCACTGGACCTGGTGTCAGGAAGACCTAAATTCAAATCCAGTCTCAGACACTTACTGGCTATGTGACCCTGGGCAAGTCATTTAACCTCTGTTTATCTCACTTTCCTCATCTGTAAAATGGGGATAGTAATAGCAACTACCTCCCAGGGTTGTGGTGAGAATCAAATGGGATAATATTTGTAAAGCATTTAATACAATGCCTGGCACACAGTAGGTGCTATATAAATATTATTATTATTATTATTATTATTATCCTGTGGTAAGTTGATAACCTGGGTATAATTGATTAGAAAATTCCAAAGAATTTTAGAATTTAGAAATCAAGTTGAAGACAGCCTATATAGTTCATAGCATGTGGTCTATAGATACCCTGTTTGACTTTCCATTTATTGAAGCAAACTGCAGTGCATTTGTATAACTTCTGTGCAAAAAGATACTTTTAAAACCCAACCAAGTTTGTACTTAACTTCAAAAATATGAAAAACCAAATGTCAAGCAGTTGTCTAACTCATCCATTTTGTTTTTCACAGTAGGGAATCATGGTTATGATAATGAATTTTCTGATATGCATCCATTGTTCTTGGCCCATGGTCCTGCTTTCAAGAAGAATGTTTCGAAGGACTCCATGAACTTGACAGACTTGTACCCGCTGCTGTGCCATGTTCTTGACATTCCTTCAATGCCACACAATGGATCACTGGCAAATGTAGAGGAGCTGCTTTCAGAAATAGTCCCCATAGTGATTCCACATAGTAGGACAACTCCACAGAGCCACGTGAACCTAAGGATTTATAAGATGCAGTCGTATGCATACTTTGTGGGAGTCTTCCTTGGTAGCATGATAGTGATTGTGTTTCTCCTAGTATTCCTTAAACATTTAACTCGTAGCCAAATGCCCACCATACAAGAGCGGAATGCTGAAATAGCTCAGCCATTGCTATGGTCCTAAGATTGCTTAAGAATGGAGATTTTTGTAGTTAATTGTTTGTTGTTAAAAAGAAAAAAGTCTGATTCCAGGAAACCAACTTCAAGGTTTGCATAGAAAGAACATACAGTGCGTTTACACACACACACACACACACACACACACACACACACACACACACGTACTACATAAATATATACATGCATACACATACATGTACCAATACATAAATACATGCACACACACACAAACTTGGACAACAGTTCACAGTGCCGTTTACCTGCATGAGATTAAAAATATAACTAAGAGCACGTCTTAACTTTACTTTTTAGCCTTGGAGGAGATTAATATCCAATGTTAGATGAACTGGAGACACATTAGACATGTGGTGACTTTTAATCCTTATAGATACCTCACTTTTGACTATTCTTAAAAGAAAATGAGTTTTATTTTTAAAAATGTAAATTTTAAAAATTTCAATGCACTTTATAGACTATTGAGTCCTAACATTTAGTCAACTGATGAAAAAGAGAACTCTTCATGCCCATCACTAGCAGACACTGCATTTTCCCTGTTATAAGAAGGGGGTGTGATTCTTTGCCTATAAGAGAGATGCAAAGGTTGCTTCATAATTACCTAATACATCTCCTTAAAAGTTAGGAGACCTAGATTAAGTGGAAACTTTCCTTGGCTAACTAGGCCTACTTTTATACCAAAAAACAGCCAGAAGCAATTGCCTTTATGGATGTACCTCATCACAGGCTTCCTAAACAACATGATTCTCATTGCACTTTTAGAGAATGCTCCATATGAAAGGGTAGCCAGCAGTTACTTTAGAAGCATCTCTTTCCTTACTAGCTGTGTGACCCTGGGCAAGTCACTTAACCCCATTTCCTAGCCAAAAAAAAAAACCCTCTCTTTCCATTATAAACTACTTTTCATCATTTCCCACTTAATAGTCTCACTCTGATTACCTTCACAATTGCAACACCAACTTCATCGTAGTCTCTTTTACTTACTGAAATATGTAGATAAGCTAAGGGGAGTCATGTATTCTGGAGTTCCAGCTTTTTGACACTCTTCTTGGAGTATTTGATTGTTTTAAAAAATGTTACTATTAACTATATTAAAACCTAATAGGGCAAAAGTAGGACCTTCTCCTTCTTAAAATAGGATACAGCCTATACAAGCACCTTTCATTTAGGCATCTACACAACCAGTACACAAGGAATATAATAAAATTAGTAAAGGTATGCTGTGCTACTGCTATGCTTAGAGGTAGGGTGGTGTAGTGGATAGGGAGCTGGCCTTAGAGCCCAAAAGACCTGGATTCAAGATCTGCTCCTGATGTTTATGGCTAGGTGACCCAGGGCAACTCACTAAACCTCTCAGACACCTTTTTTTTGTCAACTTAAATAATAACTTTTAAAAACTTAGGTAAAAATAATACAATGACCTCATCTGAAAATGCATGCAACATTTTACACCTACCTGTACTACCCTTCCTCTATTAAAAAAGAGAAACCTATTTTTTTCTCACTCCCATCTCTCACCCATTTTTTTTAAAATAAAGCAATTTTCTTATAACGAAAATGCATAGTCAAGCAAAACAAATCCTTTCAATACTATATTACAAAAACATATGGCTTATTGTGCACCCCCACAAACTGTCAGCTCTCTTTAATGGATGGCATATTTCATTATTGGTCCTCTGGAATCATGAATGGTCACTGTATGGATCATAGTTCTCACAGCTTGCAAAGTTGCCTGTTTTTAGAGTGTTATGGTAGAAAAGTGATTCTTTTGGTTTTGCTTATTTCATTCTTCAGTAGCTTAGAAAAGTTCCCAAAACTGTTCACTCTCCAAGATCTAAAGTTGTGGAGAAGTTGCCTACCTGCAATGCTTGAGGGAGGTCCTTTATTAGATAGTTCCTTTTATCAGGGAAACCACAGGGCTGGTTCCTATCCCCTAACATTGCAATCAGTATTGATCAAATACTTTTCTTTACAAGACCCTAAAAACAAAACAAATAAAGCAACCTTATAAAGCGGAGAGGATTGTCTTAAAGACCACCTCAGAATACATGTTAAAGTGCTAGGCACACGTGAGTCAGTAATTGGTAAGAATTAAGTTTGGGCTTAGGGTTATTTGCTCAGTAAGTACTTACCAAGATAAATGGACCGGCAATTTAAAGTTTTTAAAGAACATTGCAACTTTTAAGGGTCTTTGAGACATGGAGAGGCTGGGATCATGTATTTCATTTAATCAAGACAGCAAATTTCTGCAGGATGTGTAAGGTGCTTTGCTAGGTGCTGGGGAGGGAGAGGGTCTTGGGTGAATTAGTCTAAGGAATAAGTTTCTTTTCATCCCCATTGAGGACTAGTTGTGTGCCGAATGTCATCCTGCCCCTTTCATTCCCAACTGTATCTTAGCACAAAAATATACTTTAAGGCATTTCTTTAAGTGCTCAAAAGTCTTCTCAGAGGGAAGAGTGAATATTGAGAAAGAAAGATTTTGTTTTTTGTTTTGTTTTTTTCTCTCTTAAAGGGAAATTATGTCATTTCTCTTAGTAGATAAATTCTCTAAAGTAGGTCAGAAATATAGCCCATAGAAAATCTTTACATATAACGATACATATTTGTACTAATGACTAACAAAAACATGTTGTGATTAAGTATTCAAGAATTATAAGAAATGACATTTTTTAAAAGTTACATAGTGTACGACTATAGCTGTACTTTAATGCTTTCTAAAATAATGTGAACAGATCATTTGTTAGATAATAGTTATTACCAATGCTTATTAACACCTGACTTGTTTTACATAATAAATGAATGACAGTACCTAGACTAACTACATATTTATAAGCCGCTTTAAGCTGTGAAACATGATACTGATATTTAACCTCAAGAAATTTAGAATCTGGGTCTGCCATCTCAGAAAATGTATGTGTCAATGTTGACTTTTCATATTTTAACTTACCTGTGATGTTGGGATGTGGCTATGTGGATGATACAATTGGAATGCAATGGCTTTGAGGGTAAAATGCCCGTTTCTTTTTTTTTTTTCCTGTAAATTCAATTATCACGAAACCAGTTTTTTCCCCCATTCTAGAAGTTGCTAATACTGTAAACAGTAAGGTATAGCAAAAATTATTTAATAATGAAAATCAACCTTGTAATAATTCCATTAAAATTAAGATTCTAATATATATCTCCAATCCTTTTATTTCTAAATATCTGACTTTCTGCTCTTAAGCTATCAAGACAATGTTAGAAAATGAACCAAGGTGGGTATGGGCTAATCCCAGCTGGTGGGGAGATTGAGGTTGTAGGATCTCTTGAGCTTGAGAGTTCTGGGCTGAAGCAGGCTAAGCCTATTGGGTATCCCCAGTTAATCTTACATCAGTATGGCAAGCCTACAAAAGGTGTAAACTGTCCTAGGTCACAAATACAGCACATCAAAGCCTCCATGTCAATCAGTAGTGGAATCAGCCCAGGGGTAGCCCCTGTACTTCAAACCTGGACAAAATAGGGAGACCCAGTCTTTGAAAACACAAATCAAGAATGGAAAAGTAAAACTTCAAACACAGTTTCCATTTTTTAGTTGTTTTCTTCAGGATTCTGGCTGGCTCCATTTTCTTGTGTGAATCAAACAAAAAGTATTTATTAAATGTGTTACACGCCAGGAATTGTGCTTGGTGTTGGAGACAAAAGATAAAAATAAAACAATACCTGCTCTCGAGGAGCTCACATTCTAATGGGATAGACGATACATATGGAAGGTTTCAGCTGCCGGCCAGATGGAAAAATCCCGTGGTCCTAGGGACGCAATGGCAATTCAGATATTAAAGTCTTCTTTCATGTCATTATTTAATGTCACTGTTCCCAAGGCTCTTAGGCTGTCCCCATTAGAGTCTAGACAATCTGACAAAACAATAAATCAAGGCCTGTGACATATGCCAATTTCCAAGGTTTCCATTGCTCATGTTGAAAATTTAACAGCTGCCTCTCAAGAACTGGTTCAAGAAATGGTGGTCAGGGTGGTGGTGGTGGTGTTTTGGCTTGTCTGTCACGTTTCCTCTTTTGTCTCCCTCTGGGGGACCTGATGCTCCAGCTAAATTGGCATGCCTGCTCTGTATGTGGTAGTTAGTTGGTATTTGGCCGGCATGACTTGCCCTTTCTTCACAGAAGTTGCTTCCCTGGATGATGGCTGTGAGAGCTGGACTGGCAGACAACTGCACGTAGGTCAGATTACCTTCTGTTTTTGGCAACTTTGGTGTTAAGCCTTTTTTTAAAAACTTTTTTCTGAACTTTTTTTTGTGCCATGAACTCTTAGAATTTTTTAAATGAATGAAATCAAATATATAGGACTACGGAGAAAAATAGCTATGCTGAAATGCATTTATCATTTTATCCCCAAATGTTCATGGACTCCTGATTCAGAACCCCTAGGGATAGCATGGTAGAGGGGAAAAAAGTTGAAATTGACAGCAAAGTGTCTCCCCCCCCCCATTTTTCTGTGGATTCATTCATTTGATTCTACTGTCCCCAATTTCCATAGATAAAAATTACCTATTATTATTATTATACTGTTAAAAATTATAAAACTTTTTCAAGGTTTGTACATCAATTCCAGGAAGAAGAGGGAACAATATCACCGTTATTTCCTTTCTCCTTAAGCACTCCTTTTTTGGCCTTCATAACAGATTTCTGGTCCCTACTAGCTTATTGCTTATTGCTTTTATCTTCTCTACATTCTACCTTGTGTAGAATGAAAACTGCCTCCACAGACTAGCTGTGTTTTCCCTTTAATTGTTAGCACCTTGACTGGTGCCACACTGTAAGCCTGAATATATCTTGTAAGAAAGCACTACAATTAGAAAGTCTAATAAATTCCTAAGATGCAGTAGGTCTCTGCATAAATTATGAAGCCCACAAATTGTGCTAGACAAGGCAGGCAGGTCGAGGATAAAAGCAGTAATCTAGAATCTTAGAAAGCTAGGACCAAAAGGAACCTTAAGGAATATCTAGTCTACCTCTTCCCCCCATTCCCATGTTATAAATAAGAAAATAAACCCAGAGACATAAAAAATGACTTGCTCAAGGTCACTCAGGCATTAAGTGGCTGCATTTGGATTTGCACTCAGTTTACAAAATAGAAGAGAAAGCTAAAATTAAAACCCATGCCTCTAGATCCTGACCAAAGTTTTCTCTACTCGAAGGCTCTGCTTCCCTTTCAGAGAAAGATGTAAGAAGTCATATTGTCCGTTCTTGACTATGTAATAATAATAGCGATATTTAGATAGTGGCCACTATGGCGAGGCACTGTGTTAAGTGCTTTACAATTATCTCATTTGAGCCTCACAACAACTCTGGGAGATAGGTGCTATTATTATCCCCATTTTACAGATGAGGAAAATGAGGTAAACAGAGGTTAAGTGACTTGCCCAGGGTCACACATTCAGTCAGTGTCTGAGGTGGAACTTGAACTCAGGCCTTCCTGAATCCAGGCCCAACACTAGCCCCAGTGTCACCTAGCTGTAATAATATAACTTTGGCAGTCTTTTTGTATTAAGTGTGTTTATTTGGGGTTCTGTGACATCATAATACTTCTACAAGGAGACAGAAGGCCTACTTGAGATTTTACTCTGTAAGGTTTAAGAAGTTATCCTCCCTTGACCCTTCCAACCTGCTAAGCTATCTTCTCCCTTCCATAGCCAAATTTCTAGGAAAAAAAAAAGATGCTTACACTAATTTCCTCCACTTTCTCTCCTCCGGTTTCTCAAACTCTTGCATTCTGGCTTCAGATTTCATCACTCAACTGAAACAGCTCTCTCCAAAGTTACCAATGATCCCTTATTCAGTCAACAAGCATTTTTAAACATGTACTGTGCTTCAAATCCTATGCTAGTTGATGAGATTACAGATGCAATGAAACAGTACCTGCTAGCAATGGGCTTTCATGCTAAATTCCAGATTTGTCAAATCTAATGGCTTTTTCTCAGTCCTCATCATTTCTTGATGCTTGACTGCTTTCTCCTGAATATCCTCTCTTCTCTGGGTTTTTGTGACATTGTTTTTTCTTGGTTCTTCTACCTGTCTGCTTTTCCCCTCTTCAGTCTCTTTTATTCAATTAGCATCCACGTCCTACTTCCTAATTGTGGGTGTACCCTAAAATGCTATCCTGGGCCCTCTAAATTCTGTCTCTACTTTTTCTTGAGCTCATTGGATCCCACAGGCTCAATTATCTCTAGCCAGTGGTATGCTGGTAAATGTTTATTGGCTCTCAAAAAAATGTATATAAAATGATAATTGGTAATATTTATATAGCATCTACTGTGTGCCAAGCAATGTGCTAAGTGCTTTATAAATATTATCTCATTTGTTCCTCACAAACAAATGTGCTGGGAGGTGTTATTATTATCCCCATTTTTCAGACAAAGAAACTGAGGAAACTTGAGGAAAAAATGTTACTTGCCCAGGGTCACACAATCTACTAAGTGTCTGAAGCCAGAGTTAAACTCAGGGTCTTCTTAACTCCAGGAAGTGTGTACACACACACACACACACACACACACACACATTATAAATTTTACAGATAAAGGGGATGTGTAGCACATAATTTACAAATAAATATATATAATACTCTATTGTAAATTACATATATCCAATTGAATATTATAGAACACTTTGATTTTTTGATAAACTCTTGTATCTTTAGCCAACCTATGCTAGTAATTCAACCATGATTTGATATCCTAATCTGCTATTTTTCCAATGAATTTATTGTCATATCTGATATGTGACCTATTGTTATTTCTCACTTTCATTACAAATTATGTTCATTAAACTGAAACCTCTTTAAGTTTCAGCATTTCTGACTTTAGTATAGTTGCAAAGATTGGAATATTGATTCTATATTATGATTTATAAAATCCCAAAAGCATTCAAATCAATTTCATGTTTTAAAATTTCACTTAGATACAATTTTTTTTCCACCAGCTATCCACAGTGAAGTTAGTTCTTCATAAGGCCAAATGGTCTTAATAAATAAAATAATTTAAAATGTTTTCATTATTGTTTGATAAGGTATAATCATGTGTTGAATTATATTGTCTAAGTAACACATTCCTAGGGAAAGCATTAATTTATTTTCATTAAAGGAAATTTTTAAACTTACCTGATTTAATAAGATCTTCAATTTGAGATTGATGCTAATACTAATTTTTAAATTTTCCAAAACTTTTATTGCTTAATTTTTGAGCTTTCTGAATGTTAGTTGATCTGGACTGCAATGCATTTGAAAGTAATGAAAATTCTTGCCAATCATTAAAGCAAGGTCTTACAAAAAATTGGTAGCTAATCTCTTTACCAAATCATAATAAGAAAAATACATATATAATGCAGAATATAAATGCCATTCAGTAGCAGCTACTTATAAGCTATATGGCTACCATTCTCAAGTCTTAGTATTCAACCAATTTAATAATTTAAATTTCTTTTGCTACAGTTTCCAGCTCAATTTAACTTTTATTAGATTGTTGATAAATTTTATCCAGAAATATTTTTAAATTAACTTGTTTCATTTCAAATATTGCCTCATCAAATGACAATTACAATCAGTGATTTAAAGGCACGATGGAGCCAAAATTAATGACTTGGTTTTTTTGTTTTGCTATGGGGTATCTCAGGTGGGGGAGAGGTCAACCACAAGGCATCTGGCTTGGTATGCCTTATGCTCAATCAGTACAATCACCTTCTGAGTCTTGGTTATATGCCTCCATATACTTGTTTTCCCAACTCCACAAAGCTTTTCATGTCTTTTTGAAAAGGAATGGAAACTTCTGTTTTTTCATTACTTAAATTTTTCCCAGTTCCTCTCCAGTATCCCAGAGTGGCTAAGTGACTCGGTGGATAGAGTGATGGCTCTGGGGTCAGGAAGACTCTTCCTCTTGAGTTCAAGTCTGGCTTCAGACACTTTCAAGCTGTGTGACCCTGAGCAAGTCACTTAACTGTTAGCCTCAGTTTCCTCACCTGGAAAATTAGCTGGAACCACTCTATTATCTTGGCCAAGAAAATCTCAAATGGGGCCATGAATAGTTGGACGTGGACTAAAAACTACTGAATAACAACAAATCCCTCCTCTGCTACCTCATAGAGTTACCCTACATAACAAAGGATTTTTTTAAAAGAAAAAAAAATCAGCAAA